TTTAACTGATTCTGTTTAATTGTAAATGTTGTCATATTTTTTCGTGCTGTTACTAACAGTTGCAAATGCCTAGCCTTAAGTTGAAAGTTTTTCAAACGCCTTAAAATGAATTTTCCACACACACACATAAATTGTATCTATGTGTGCTGCGTGCATTGTTTTTGCCTTTTATCTACTATGCATGTTAACTTATAATATGAAACTTAAGTGCCTTTAAACTAAAAAATAGAAAAAAATAAAACAAAAAATTAAAAAAGAAGCAAACATAATAAACTGAAATACACTGTGAAATGTAAATGAAAGTGTTGAGCTAACTAAATAATGTTTTTATTTTCGACGCGACTGTAATTGTATGATTCAACTGTTAAATCGTCATTAGTTTACAGATTTCATTAGTGTTACAATAACATAGACAGAATCTGTTACACTGGCTAACATCTATTAGTTGCTAAGAATGCTATAGTTAAAACAATTATGTAACTTTTCTAGTTCGTTTGCATTTATTTTTTTTTTTTTTTGTATAGATTTTTTTAGTCTTTATTGACATTGCAGAAGTTTGAATTTCACATATGTTCGTTAACATAGTGCTGTTATGTAACAAATTAGTATTATTGTTATTCGAAAGCGTTTCGTTCTGTTGCTGCAGTTGTTCATGCTGTTGTTGATGTTGTTGTTGTTTTGTTGCTGTTGTAATAAGTTGTTGTTGTTGTTGTTGTTATTATTATTGTCGTTGTCTCTTATGCCTTGGACTCAGCCTCGCTAGCTGTCGCTGTGGACTGAGCATCACTGGACTTGCCATCATCCACCTTGCCAAAGACACAGCAGGGGCACTTCTCCTTCAGGGCCAAGCGGTACTTGGGATGACTGTGGAGCGATGGGTGTGACAATTAATTCAACATGACTTAAGGCTCAATATAATTATGTGTATACCTGATGCCGTATACAATTGGATTGTAGCAGGCAGCCGACTTGGCGAAGCAAGCGCCCCAAATGGTGTTCAATGGTGTTAGGCCCTCGAATTTGAACAGGCCCATGCAGTTGATGACCAGGTATGGGGTCCACGCCATGAACCACAGTGAGATGGTGACCAGAGCGACCTTAGCCAGTTTGCCCTCAGCGCTCTTCTCGGCATCCTCGGACGAGCGAAGAGATTTGACGTTCATCTTCTTGGCCTGCTCGCGCATGGCTTTCTCGTGAGCAGAGACGGCCTAAAGGGCGAGAGCGAGAGAGACGTATTAGTGAAAGTCATACTCGGGCAGCTCAGCTCAACTTACAGCAATGATGAACCAGTAGGAGTAGCAGATCAGGAACAGCGGGATATAGTAGACAAAGATGGAGTAAAAGATCAGATATGAACGTGGATTCCAATCGCGTTCCAAGTAGTCAATACCGCACGATGTCAGATTACCCTCGGGCACATATCTGCCCAAAATCGAACCATAGTATAGAGATACCTCAATTTTTAGTTAGCTTTCCGCTCACCTGCTCCAGCCGAAAACGGGCGCCAGGCACCAAATGCTGGACATGAACCATATGTAGGCAATCTTGCCCAATGCCAATGGGATGGTCATTGGACGGCCGGCCATGCCCTTAACAATCACTTGATAACGATCCAGCGATATCATGCACATGGACCAAATGGAGCTGCAGCCAAAGGCCGAGCCCAGGCCGGCATAGATGTCGCACATCATTGGGCCGAGCACCCAAGTCTCAAAGTACAGATTGATGCCCATCATTGGCGTATTGGTGATCATGATGCCAAAGTCGGATATAGCCAGGTTGATGACCAACAGATTAGCAGGCGTACGCAACGATTTTGTGGTGGCAAATATGTAAATCACCACGCCATTTCCACACCAGGAAATCATGCCAATCAAGATCATGTAAGCGGTAAGAATTTTCGCCCAGATGGGGTCCATGGCGGGAAATTGATTCCAATATGGGCTAATTAAGTGCGCCATATCGGGTGTGACCTGTTAGGGATAGTGATACAAGTAAGCTCCATCCTCTTATCTTTCTTTTACACTTTTTCACCTTGTCTACTACCGATCCATTGGACAGTGGGGCAAAGTGTGGCCCCAGTTGTGTGGCTACTGCTGCAAAGCTATGCAACACAGAAATATTTATTAACAATATATTCTATAAACATTGTCCGATGGCCCGCTTACCTCTCCATTGTGAATTTGTGTATCCGCTATATCCCGGCTTAAGCTTTCACTAACTTCTGCGTTTTACATAAAAAGCTGCAAATTAGTTTTAATCTCTCTAAATTTCTAACACTTTTTACATAGATTTTGTATTTTCCCTGAATATTATTTCACTGGAGCGGACTATTCGCGGCGATTGGTCGTTGGAAACCTGCGTCTGTGCCTGGCTCAGGCATTGCTTTTATAGTCTTGGCTGTGCCCATGTCCAAACAAATTCAATTAGTTCTTGCACTCGGAGGCCTAAAAATAAAGGCGTTAACAGCCTTTGGCTTATAACGTAAACTTAAACAAATATAAAAAATATAATATTGCAACGATGACGCGACGACATCCAATGTCAATAGTTATGTACTTCAAAGGTTTCCCAGCTCCAGATTCATTGGGCTGGCAGAGGGCCAACGTTTGAGCTGACATTGTGCCGCAAACAGCAAGAAAGTGGGCGTGGAAAGTCAGCGATTTAATGTGTCAATGCAATGTGCAAATATGAAGAGCACCAGCAAATCAATAGATGCACCAGCCAAAGCAAACAAATGCCAAAGAAGCCCAAAGATTGGACAGTTCATAAGTGCATTGAGCTCATGCGGCGTATGCGTAATGCCTGCATATGATATATGTTGCGCATACGCAGTGTGACGCTGCTTAGAGTGACTTTAGTTGCTAAATAAAATAATGTAGGAATTTATCTAAAATAAGTAAAAATGCAAGACAAACCTATAAATTATGTATATTCTGTGTGCTATACATTTTATATTCCTATTCATAATTTCTTATAACATATGATAATAATGGTTACAAAACTTTAAAGACTTAACTACTCTTATTTTACTAAATTAGATACGATATTGTGTTATCTTGTCATTTTAAACAGTATTTAATTGAATTATATAAGCTCTATATGTCCATTTCTTAATCATTTTCTATTTATATATCATTTGATAGACAATAAATTGTATTTTTACTGTTCTATTGCTGCTGCATTTAATCAACCGTTAATGCTATAAATACTATATCCAGAGATCGGATCGGCAGCATTAGACGTAAGCTGCTTTTTCATACAATGTGCCATCAATAGATCTATTCACACTTCAGTTGTGACGCTCGCGTTCTATTGTTTACGTGTTGTCTCACATGTCAGAGAGCGTCTAAACAAACACACAAAATAACGCGTGTTGAGGTTGAGTGTGTGTGTGTATGTGTGTGTGTGTGTGGTCCTCTAGGGCGTGTGGGTGTTGGGTTTTTTTGTCAAATCTTCTACAGCCACATAAAGCGCGCTCTGTTTGTATTATGCGCACAGTAAAACCCAACACAGACGCATAAATTGGGTCACACACAGCTAATCCAAGGTGAGCGGCAGGGGGCTGGCGTGTCGGGGGAGGGGGCACCCTTATATGGCAATGGAACGCGGCTAAACTAAATAGCTGTCAATTGATGAGACAATCAGCATCTCAAAGGTTGAGATCTCTTGGTTAAAATCAATTACCGCAAAAGCAAAGCGCGCCAACGAAAAACGAGAAACAGAAACTGAAACTGTAACTGAAACAGCTACAGCAACAGAAACCGAAACATGCAATAAAGATAGAAACGAGCAGCAGATCAAAGCACAACGCTAACCGGAAGCTGCGCTTCGCTGGTGCGGCCAATGATCAACACGATAAAAATTATCATCATCAGCCGATGATGATGAGCATTGTGAACGTCATCACAGTAGCTACAACACTTGCTTGCGGTTAAACCAACTGTCGCCGCGTGATCTATGTATGCGGTTGTGTCTGCATGTGTGTGTGTGTGTGTAATATGTAAAATTTCAACAACAACAAAAATAAACGTGTAAATAACCAAATGCCTCATCAGACATTTTTATATGACAGAGGTGAGCGCAAATATTCGAACATCATTTCGAGTTGCTCTAAACAAACAAAAGGCGCCCACCTGCAAAATTCATATAAACAAATTATATTCGTCAAAAGTAGCAAAAAATACCAAAATGAAAAAACTAAAAAGTAAGATAAAAAAAAAAATACGAACTGACTGCAACAAACATGTTGGAAAAAGGCACGACAGAAATAAGTTATTTAGCATTAGCAAAAGCGAAATAAATGTTTCAGGTTTTATTCTTCTTCGTGTCACAGTCACACAAAAAAAATAATAAAAGTGGACAAGGAGTATTGCAGCGTGGATACCCTACAAATCGATATTATTAACGTTTAGACATATGTAAAATTTTATATTTGGTGTGAACATTTATTTTAGAGTTTACTAGTATTATCAAACAAATAATCATTGCAATTTCATTCTCAGTATAAATATGTAAGAATGAAAACAGAATAACATTTAAGCGATTAACAGCAGCGGTCTGCATGACGTACAGCATATACCCCATGCTGTTGAATAGCTTATAAATAACAAACACCTTTGCTTTGATTTTTGCTGTTTGCTTTTATTGTTGTTGTGGTATTATTATTTTTTTTTTTTTTTTTCGTCAGCGTGTTGTGTGTGGGTACGGCAAGTGTTCTGCGTCTGCGTCTACGTCTGCGTTTAGGTCTGAGTGTGCGTGTTGTGTGGGGGTAAGTGAGAGAGCAAAGCAAAAGAGAGCATAAGTGAGGTTGTGGTGTCTGCTGCTGCTCAAAGAACGCCAAAGTAAATGTCGGCGCTGGCGCTGTCATTTGCAATCGAGAGAGCGAGGACAGAGCAAAAGACTAGGAGAGATACATAGAGAGAGGGAGAGAGAGAGAGAGACAGGCCGCATGTGTGTGTGGGAGCGCCCTAATCGCCTGTTCTCAGTGTCATTAGCTGCTGCTGCAACAGCTGAGATCACTTCCACTTTGCGCACTGGCGACGATAGCAGAGGCTGCACTGCCCACAGTGACTGCGACAGAGACAGCGACTGCGACACCGACAACGGCTGATGTTATTTTCAGTTGCGAGCAGAGCGTCGGCCAAAGATTTACAGTAACAACACGAAGCTAATCAGCAGCGTTTGGCGGTTCGCGTGCAGCGTGCGCTCGGTAAAAATTCTCTTGTGCGGAACACGGCAATATACTGTTAAATTTAGCGCACCGGTCACAGATTCCAAAAAAATATAAAGAAAATACGAATTTCTGCGTCCAACTAGCCAGATGGATGCAAATATGTAAATACAGTTACATGTGACTACAGTTACATGTGTTTTCGCACTTGTCTGTGCCTGTGGTGTGCTTGCGTGTTTTGTTATTGTTGTCGCCCAACTTTGATCGCAGTTAACTTGTTTATCCATTGGCAGCCGAAATGAAATGTCAAATTGCAAATTCGTTGTCTAACCTTTTGTTTAGTTTATTAATTAATGACGAAACTCAACCAACGCGGCGCGCGTCATCGTGTCTGTCGTCAGCGCACGCCTAGGGGCATAAATGCAATTAAATCATTAATAAAGCCAGACAAACATCCAAATATACTCGATAGCGCCGACTCCCATGCATGCATACATACACACACAAAGATATATATACATACATACATACATACATATACGCACACGTTAAGTGCAATAGAAAAGTGTGTGGCAAGCAGCGCGGAAGCAGCAGCAGCGTCGATGGCGGCGGCGGCGGTGGCAACGGCAGCAGCAACTACTTCGAAATTTATTTTCGAATAAATAGTACAAAGTTGAAGAAGAAGAAGCAGCAGCAGCAGCCGAAGCTAAACGTAAAAACAAGGCAAAAATGCCGCTACGGGCAAAGGGGCAGCTTTCAATATATATTTTTTGTTCCTTCTCTTACGCGTGCACAGTGAACTGCACTTCATTTGCATTGTCTCAATTGCCGAAGATGCGCATTGATTTGATTAATTAATTGCCGGGCGGCAAATATTTCACACCAATGTGCTAAAATGAATTTATTACTGTTTATTATTACTTTGCTTCGTTTGATAAGTGATTTACGCACCCTTCATTACTGAAACGGCATGAAATAGTTGAGGAAACGAAAGAAATTCTGCACACAAACTAAAAGACATTAAATTACTATACCAAACCCAACAAATGTATAACTATTTAAATAATCATTTACATTTGACATTGTTGACATAAAAAACAAATATTTGTCCTTAAAAATATTTTTGTATAAATATTTTGCATGCTGTAAGATATTGAAAAATCCCACAATTCGCTTATTTAGACAAATGTGCTTATTTGTTAACCACTGTGCACAGTGGTGTGCGCGTTTTACGTATTGAGATGATGCCTCGATCCCGATGCTAATGCCGCAGTTATATATATCTATATATTTGAGTATGTGTATGCGTGTGTGTGTGCGTCTGCGTCTACGTTGCGGGCTGGGTGTTTCTGTCGGCGTCTGAAATTAACGAAATAGGAAATTTTGGTATTTCTTTATATAAATAGATTTCGCCATACGGAGAGAAGTTAAAACGAGGAAAATGTGAAAATGTGAAAAGTGAATGAAACGCACGAGGAAAATTTGTAAAAATCAAACCCAATTACAGGCCACCAAATTCTGAAATGTGAAAACCTAAAACAGAAAAAAAATATACACATATGTATGTTATATATATCCAAAATATTCTGAATCTGTGAAACGTCAGAAAAAAAAGAAAAATAATACACACACCGTTTATGTTCAAGTGTAGCAATAAACACAGACCAAATCGAAAATGTGAATATACTAGTAGTTTTTTTTTTAACATTTAAATTGTGCGTGCAAAAATTAAACAAGACATAAAAACAGTTTAGACGAACACGTTGAACACTTTAAAGGAAAATGCATTCGTCTTCCACGACAACGACAACAACAACTAAAACAAAGAAGCTCAGCAGCAGCGGAGGCGTCGGCGTCGGCGGCAGCGGCAGCGCCAGCACTGTGGCTATGACAACTGCCAGTAAGACGACAACAACAACCACACGCAAACCAGCAACAGTTGCTGGTGCTGGAGCTGTTGCTGTCGGCAGCCAAAAGTCGCCGAAGGCAACGCCGTTGATCGGAAGCGATGAGCACGCAGAGATCGTGGAGCTGATAAGCGAGCAGGCCGATGCCATCTATCACCAGTGGAAGAATTCCGGAGCGCCGCCCGCCGAGCTACTGGATACGTACAAAAGTCCGACGGCCACCGGCAACTTTGCGGATGTTGCTGTTGCACCAACAAATCTGAGCAATACGGAGGGCTTGCAAAAGATGGTCACCAGCTTCGTGAACAAAGACAAAGAGCAGCGAAGCAAGGGCGGGGGCATAAAGAAAACGGAAGTGGGCGTGGCGGTGCAATCGAATGGCAAGACGAAGAAATCAGCAACAGCAGTAGTAACAGCAACAGCAACAGCAACAGCAGCAGCAACAGCAGCATCAACACCAACAACAGCAACTGTCAAGGCCGGCAAATCAAGTCAAGTGGAGCAGGCGCTGCAATCACCCAAAAAGGTTGCTGCCGTCTCTAGCAAAGCGTTGCGCGATGTAAATCTCAACTATGACATCAATTTGCAGCTGGACGTGAACAATTTGTCACAGCAACAAACACAGCAACTGCTGCAAATCAGCGAGTTGTTGCACAAGGAGGCGACAGCAGCGGCAACAGCAACAGCTGCCAAAAAGCGACTGAGCAGCAGCAGCAACAGCAGCAGCAACAACAGCAGTAACAAGATCAACAGCAACAGCAGCAATAGTTTAAACAACAGCAGCAGCAAGTTAACAGCAGCAGAGCAGCCCACAAAAAAGATAAGCAAAGTCAGCAGCAGAAGCAGCAACAACAGCAACAATAGCCAAAGCATCATCAGTGTGGATGCGTTGGATGCGCCGCGTGTGGGCGTGTCAGGGCTGGATGAGCCCACTAAGAGTGCCAGCGATCCGGCAATCGGCAGCCGTAAATTACACAAAACCAAAGAGAACAACAATAGCGAGCAACACAAGCCGGCGACGGCAGCAACGGCCAAAGAAAAGCTGTCAATAACACGAAAAGTTACTGGCAGCAGAAGCAGCGCCAACAGCAGCAACACTGATAACAGCAAAGCCAGCAACATTGTAGCGAGTGTAATACCCGCAACTGCAACACCAACAGCAGCAGCAGCAGCAGCATCTGCTGCCGTTAGCACACCAGCAACATTGGCGGACACAACGATGCCAACGTTGACTAAAATCAAACCGACTAGCGGCAGCCGAGCAGCGCTCACCAATGGCCAGGACAAGAATTGTAATGCGAATCGAATTTTGATTTATTAAACACACACACACACCTGTATCCATAGACTAATCACCCTTCACCTTTGTAGTGGGCAGACCGATCCTAACACGCGGCTCGGTGGCGGAGCGCGTGATGCTCTTCGAGAAGCGGCCGGATGTGCGCAACTCGTTTCTTGATATCAAACGGCCAGCGGATGCGCCGCCCAAAAGTTTGCTCAAGGTAAGCTCAAAAGGAAAATATGTACAAATATATATTTTAAAGTGCGGCTCGGTACACCCATAGAAAGGTGTGTGTGTGTGTGTGTGTCTGTGTGTGTTGGTGTTGTTCAGTTGTTATCTAACAATTGCAAATAGCGCACGAAAAAATTCACCACAGCCGCACGCCAGCAACAATTGCAACAAATTGCTAAGGCCCCTCTCTCCACTCTGCCCCTCTCGCAATCTCACTCTCTATCCCTATCTCTTTTCATCATGTGCATTTAAAGAAATATCGTGTTATCGAGCAACGTTGATTGATTTAAGGTTAACTCAAGACGCCATCGGTTGCCAACAGAGATGAGTCGTTAGAGAACTATATGTACATATAGCTAGATATATAGGGAACATCGAACAATACAATTTGCTAAAATAACATTAGGGGTGTTCACTATGTAAATGCTGTTGCTCTTAAATCTTGCTTATATTTATATCCACAATTTGAGCTTAGAAACGATTTACTCATAGGAAATACCTCACATTTTATACATCCTGTCATTTTACAAAAATAATTATTGAAACAAGAATCCAAGGAAATTAAGAAGCAATACATCGAGGACTCGGAGTCGAAAGAGTCAGCTACTTCGCTATGACTATACATAAGACTAGGCTATCTCTAAATATTCTAGGCTCCTTTTCACTGGATATTTTCTTAACATGTATACATGTATATGAATTGTTTGCATTAGTTTTTTAAATGACATTTATTCATTTTTCTGTATTTTTTTTTTTTTGTTAACCTTTATAGTGAGTGACCCTATTGAGCATGCATACTCTCTCGTATACAAACAATCAAATTAAGCATTTACGATCAGCACGATTGTACATAGGCAAAAAAAAATAATAAAAATAAAAAAAAAATTTTCAGAAAAAACTGAATACAAATACAATACAAGCACATGATTATTTAAGCAACACGAATGCACTTTTTTTTTATATTTTTTGTTATTTTTGGGTATTTTTGTTTTGTTTTGTTGCTTTTGTGAGTATTCAGTTTTTTTGCTATTTAATTATTTAGTTTCAAATGTGTGCGTGTGTGTGAGTATGAATGAGTTTAAAGTTTATAAAAAACTCAACCAGCCGGCGAAACTTTACTGCGTTTCAATATGAAATCTATTTGTTGTTTTTTTTTTTGCTTGTTGCTTTTAAGTAAATAATCGCTATAAATAATTTGCATACGAAACTTAGTGTGCGATTGATTGTGCTGCTGGTGCTGTCGAAGCAGGCGCGATTCTTGAATTCTTGCTGCTATCTATTGCCTTTACGATTTAACAACTATGCGTATGCGTAATATTTAGCTTGGCCATCAGGCGTAGCGGTGCGTATACGTAAGATGCGCACATGCCCGCACTGTGTACGTGTGAGTGAGTGAGTGTTTGTGTGTGTTTGTATTTTGGTTTCTTTCATGCGAGTGGAGATTAATATTAATGCTGCCGTTGACAGTTTTAAAATCATGAATGGCCAATGCTTCGCTTATGCTGCTCTGCCATTAAAGACTTATGGCCAAAAGCAAATGATGCTGCTTATATGGCGTGCAAATGGAATACAAACAAAGATAGATCACAAAGAAATTTGCTAGAACAAAAGCGTAAAATATACGTATGAGGCGTAAAAATATTTAATTGATCATTTTGCACGTGGGCTCTACCTACTTACATACATACATACATACATACATACATATGTATATCATCTCTTTGATAAATTATAATCTCAGCTTCTTTTTTTTTCCACAATTTATAAGCGAAAACTATTTTTGACTGTCTGAGAGTTTGTTTGAATTTCAAGTAATTGCTAAGAATTATCGGAAGTTGAATTCAATTCGAGTCTAATATAAACTTGGTCTGGACTAATTATGAATTTGAATTGAATTAGAATTTGTACTCGAGCAATGCCACAGCTCTTAAATGTCTAAAATATTCTTAAGATTAATTGTTTTATAATTGCGTGTGATCAACCTTTGGCTTTCACAGCTCCAATCGCGTTAAATTTAATCAATTTAAGCAATTTTCAAGAGCTTCTAGAAAGTGAGAGCGAGAGCGAGAAATAATCAACCATATTTCAATTTCTATAGATTTCTTTAGATTATTTTTCATTGACGCCAATTAAGATGTTGTAAATTTAGCTTCAATTTGCTGCTGAATTTAGCACAATTACAATAACAACAAAGTAGTGTATGTATGCATGTGTGTGTGTGTGTGTGTGTGTGAACTTATTTTCTGCTCATTTGTTATTTTGATTTTCTCTGAGTTAAATTGAATTTCCACGAATATTTTAAGTATATTTTGATTTATACAAGCAAACACGCCCAATTTTTTATTATAATGCTTAAACGAAACCCAATTAACAGTAATTTCTTTATGAAAATAGTTGTTTATGTTTTATAATAAACTGAAAGGGCCAAAATTAGCGCAGATGTAAACAAAAAGAACCAGAGACTTAGTATCTGTAGAATCCGAAAATTGTATACCCTTAACTTTGTTGAATATTTTTACTTAATATAGTATAATTTATGTTAATATGTTACATACATATTCTTTGCTAAACCAGATCTAATATTTGTAATATGATTCCTCGAAGTTATACCTATTTTAAATAATGAGAATGAGAATGATAGTGAGAAATATATTAATAATAATAATAATAATAGCATTTTGGATGATCATGATAATTTTGTATAAAGATAATGATGATAATAATTAACTTTAATGATAATCATGACAATTATAAAGATGACTAAATGTAGATTTGATTGATAATGAGGATTATATCATAATCTGAAAGCATGGGCGTTGTCTTAAGGGTATCTACATACTTTCCTCAATTCGAATTAGTTTCTTGGTAAAACAAAGAATTTCTCAATATTTATACGTGCCAAAAAGTGTGGCAAATTAATGTGTAAACAGAGCAAAAATTGTTGGCATATAAATTGCGTGCAGAATAATGTGAGATGCTCTTGATATTATATAAATACTTTAGTCTATAGTATGTCTTATAAATGCTCTCTTGTTGTTGCAGGTCAAGCTGCATGCAACGCCGCCGCCTCCGCCGTCACAGGAACAAAATCTATTACAAAAGGAGATACGCAGCTCCAAGAGCGTCTACATACCCAGGTAAGTCAACAAGATATCTATATATATATATGTATGTATGTATATCTTATATATGTGTTCCATGGCAGATTTTACTTTCCACATGGCAAGCCGCAGCCAACCATTGCCATGGAGCGTGTCATTCGCGGCATTTTGTCCGCCTTCGATAGCTTTCCCAACAATCAGGTGACCAAGGATGAGCTGCCCCGCATCCTGAAGCTGTGCGGCCTGCCCTTCTATTGGCGCATGCCGGTTATGATCTTCTGCCAGGCGGGCACCACGGGCTTGGTGGAGCGCCAGCGTTTTGTCGAGTTCTGGAAGCAGTTAAGTTGCCAAGAATTCCTGGCCAGATTTGTTGTTGTATTGATTGTGTGTGTTGCCTTTCCTATACTCCATGCAGAATGAATGTCTATTGCCATGAGGCGGCCTCGCGTTTTGTCTATATTCTGTCGCGCGGTCAACGCTTTCGTTCCTATATTGTGCCAGAGGATTTGGTGCCGCTGGTGCAGGATGTGGTCGATACGCATCCGGGTCTGGCGTTTCTAAAAGAAGCCACCGAATTCCATTCCAGATACGTGCACACAGTCATCGCGCGCATCTTCTATTCGGTGAATCGCAGCTGGAGCGGCAAGATAACCATATCGGAGCTCAAGCGATCCGATCTGCTCGAGGTGAGTTCACTCGGCAGCGTACAATAAGGAATTTGAGTTGAACTAAAGCATATTTTCTTGTGCGCAGATGATTAGCCTACTGGAGGAGGAGGAGGACATCAATCAAATCATGGCCTTCTTTAGCTATGAGCACTTCTATGTGATCTATTGTAAATTTTGGGAATTGGATAAAGATCACGATCTGCTCATCAATCAGGACGATCTGGCCAAGCACAGCGACAATGCGCTCTCCACCCGCATTGTGGAGCGCATCTTCTCCGGCTGTGTAACGCGCAGCGACAACAAAAAGGCGCCCGAAGACGAACCCAAAATGTCCTATACAGACTTCGTGTGGTTCATTCTGTCCGAGGAGGACAAGCGCACGCCGACGGCCATTGAGTACTGGTTCCGCTGCATGGACATTGACGGCGACGGCGTGTTGTCCATGTATGAGCTGGAGTACTTCTACGAGGAGCAACAGCAGCGCATGGAGGGCATAGGCATTGAATGCTTGCCCTTCGAGGATTGCCTCTGCCAGGTGCGCGAATTGCAGACTCACTAATCATCTTCCATCTTATGATGATGTCTCTAAATATCTCTCTAAACAGATGCTGGACATGATCAAGCCTGCGAACCGTGATTCCATTACACTGGGTGACTTGAAACGCTGCAAAATGACGCACGTGTTCTTCGATACGTTCTTCAATTTGGAGAAGTATCTGGATCACGAGCAACGCGATCCATTCGCCGCACAGCGCGATGAATCCGTAAGTTTTCAAACTAATTGTGAATGATGTTGACGGCTCGTATCTAATTATCCTTCATCTATTTACAGACCTCCGATTGGGATCGATTTGCGGCACAGGAATACGAGCTGCTTATATCTGAGGAGAGTGATTGAAGCTCGTGTCGAAATTCGGGTTTTAAGAACGTATTCATATGCATACACAAACGCACAATTACACTATCTCGCCCATATACACTCACTCACAAACACAAGCAAACCCACACTTTCAAATATATATATTTATTTACTTACAAATTTTTATACAAATTTTACAGTACGTCAAAACAAAAATGTTCCAAAAAAAAACCACCATAAAAAGAAAAAAAAAAAAAAAGAAAAAGAATATAAAACAACTGGAATATCTTAGAGCATGAATGTGCAATAAATCTTAGAGCATAAATGTGCAATAAATCTTAATTATATTTATTATGGCGCGCTTTTCGCTATTCAGCTGAAGTCAACAAAAATAAATCGTAGCAATTAAAAGCTAAACTGAATAGCGGAACACGCCCGAAAAATCGAGTTTCGAATATGCAAGTTTTGCATGAGTCAATTTTTTTAACGAGTAGTTAACCTTAGTCAATTTAATTTGTGCAAATTTTGTTTTAGTTGAATATAATTAAATAAAATTAATCATAAATTTGTTTAATGCTTTCTTACATCTTTTTATTTACCAATCGAACGTCTTGAAAATTGAATCAACTCCTAATCAAATCTTTTGCAGAATATTTTAAATCAAATATTTTTATGGGAAAAGGTAATTTATTTCTAGAACAATCCAATGATCCAATGAATCTTAAAAAGTATATAAAACACATTTATTAACTTTATTTATTTATTTTGTTTTTTATTAAATAACTATATTAATTTTTTTTACGTTTTGTTATACAACTTAAATTAGTTAAAAATATAATTTGCTTCTCGTCTCATTAATTAGACTATTAAAAATTTGTAACTCATTTCTTCTGTTGTCTAGTTTAAATATATATAAATATATTTATTTATTTATTTTTTTTTTTTTCGTTTTTACAGTTGTTCAAGTTTAATCATATATAAACATATATTCAGAACGGAGAAAAATAACGCAACAGTCATATATTCTTGTTGTTTTCTCAAAATTGTTGTCCAATAAGTGATATTAACGATTTTAGGACTTTTTTTTTATTATTTTTGCTTTACATTTCTAGTGAAAAAATTAGATATTTGATTGTTTTTTACAATTGCCATTTTTTGATGCTGCAAACGATTTTTGAAAGGCTGCATTTTCAAATTTGCGCTGCTTGTCAGTTATGAATCACAGGTGCATATCGAGTGGGAAGGGGACCGATATATGCTATACATATGTATATATATATAAACATAATATATATATTTAGATATATATAAAATTGCGAATCAGCCATTCAAAAATTGTGTGACAGCGCTTTGCAGGAGGTGCTACGTACCGACCACAGTATCATTTAAACGTGACTAAAAATAATATAACATATTAACGATGATGAATATATATATATAAAGAGGGAAGTGTGGAGTTAGCATTGGAAAAGCATATTTGCAAAGCAAAAATGTTTCAAGAAATGTGTAACTCAATAGAATAGTCTAAAAATGAGTTTCAATGAAAAGCGTTGCACAAAATTTTAGAAGTGGGAAAAAATCAAATGGATAAGCGTTGCAGATCGTGTTGTTGTTGTTGCTTTAGCTGCTGTTTAAAGGGTGTGTTGTAATCAGGAGCTTTTACTGTTTGAGCCGTACTTTTTCACTATCTTCAAAGTTCTTATCATTATCGTTGCTGGGCTCCGAATCTGTAGTCTCCGTTGTTGAGCTGTCGGTGGTAGCGCTGGTATCGTCATCACTACTGCGACTGTAAATGGGCTTTGAATTGCCGCGCACATAATCCGCCGTAATGTGTACGCTGCGTATATCTGATCCAGGCACAATGAACATGGGATCCAACAGCAGTTGCTCCTGTCGAACGAACAATAAAATGCATTATTATTGTGATCGGGATTGAAATTATTAGATCCGCTAGCTAACCATTATGGAGCGCAGTCCACGTGCACCAGTATGCCTTTCCATGGCTAGACTTGCAATTGATTCAACCGCATCTTCCGTAAACGATAAGTCCACCTCGTCGAGGCCAAGCAGCGCTTTGTATTGAGGCACGAGAGCATTGCGTGGTTCGGTCAGAATACGCACTAGCATATTCACATTCAAACTATGGAAGGGCACAATGACCGGAAAACGACCAACGAATTCCTATGGAGTAATCGAGTATAATTAATATGATATGATACTGCTAAAGCAGTTTCTACTAACGGGTATCATGCCAAACTCAACGAGATCACGGGCCTGCACCTTGGTCAGGCATTTATCACGCTCCTCCTGATCGTTATCCATTGGACTGGCTGTTGATTGTGCCGCTCGACGGCCCGAGCCGCTCGTCGACGGCATGCCAAAGCCCAAATACTGTACAAAAGACTTGCGATTAAGATATGATTACAAATATAGCTGCTGGTCTAGCTCACCTTTTCATTTAGTCGGCGGGCAATGAGACGATCGAGGCCCGTGTAGGCACCAGAGGCAACAAACAGTATATTCGTAGTGTCCACCTGCACCGTCTCGCCTCGCAGCTTACGCGGCGAGTTGCGCTCGGGCACATTGACCACAGTCCCCTCCAGCATCTTTAACATACCCTGCTGAACACCTTCGCCGCCCACGTCGCGCAGCTGATGTATGCCAGGCACAGCGCCAATTTTATCCACCTCATCCAAGAACACAATGCCGGTTTGAGCACGCTCCACACTGAAAAATATAGGGAAATAATATGATTAGATATCATCCATGTAAATGAACAATTTACTTGTAGTTGGCGTCCTGTAGCAACTTGGATATGACACTCTCAATGTCCTCGCCCACGTAGCCGGCCTGGGTGAGCGTTGTGCAATCGCATATGGCAAACGGCACATCCAGACAGCGGGCGATTGTCTGTGCAATTAACGTTTTGCCAGATCCCGTCGGGCCGAGCATAATGATGTTGCTCTTCTCCAATTTAACATCGTTACTTTGTCTGTCCAGTATCTCGGAGCCGGGACGATGATCGCTGCTCCGCGAGGCGTTGGCAGCGTTGCTGTTGTGCAGGCCGCTACCTAGACCGCCACCAGTCAGACCGCCGCCGAGGCCCATTTGGGCTGGTTTTGGCGGCAGCTCGTTGCCAGGACTGCTGTTCAGTGTGTGACCGATGCCGGTGATGTGCAGTAGATCCGTGCGAGGTATGCCGTCCAGTCCGCTCCCAGCGCCGCCCGCACTTGGCTGTTGCTGCAGCTGCGGCAAATTGTGATGGATGCGCTTATAATGATTGTAGACGGCCACCGCTAGCACCTTCTTGGCAAAGTCCTGGCCAACCACATGCTTGTCCAAGTATTCCATGATCTTCTGCGGTGGCGGCGGTGGCTTGCGCTGATTCTTTGGCTCCTCCTTGATACGCTGCTTGGTTTCCACATCGGAGAGCACCACAAAGAAGTAGTTGCACTTGGCACACTTCACAAACCGCGTTGAGCTGACAAATGTTTCCACTTGGGTGCACGCACTGCCACATTTTGGACAGGATAAGAACTTATCGCCACTTCCGCCAGTTGTGGTTGAGCCGCCACTGCCGCCAAGACTCGACCCACCACCCCCCGGTGGTTTGGATGCACCACCTGCGCCACTGATGTCGCCGCCCTTGTCGGTTCCTGTAGTTCCACTACTGCTGCTGCCGTTTCCAGACTCCGATCTGATTCTCACTCCATTAGTTATGTCAATGTAGGCGGGTATGGCCACAACGGACTCCAGCAGTAGCTGCCCATTGGCGGCGCATTGCTGAGTGGCCAGGTGAAATCGTCGCCGTCCAAGCCCACTGCTCAGTATTATGCAGTTCGGTGTATGTTGTACGTGGCTGGTACCTAAGGCAATGATGAACAGAAGGAGAGAATAGGTTAATATATGAGTTCTATTATTCAAAATGCAATCGCCTTAAAAGTGAACTTGATTGATGGCATAACACACTTTAATCCGCATTTACATATATATAAATTATATATTTATGTATAAATTCAAAGGAACAACTCAAAAGCATTTTTTATAATCATTTCTTCTTAGCATTTCCTTAAGCATTTTGTTATAATTGATTCGTCTAAGTTTTTCTTCTAAATATTTTCCCTAAGTATTTCTCCAAGTATTCCCTACAAGTATTTCCATTAAGGTGAATGATCATTAAATATTTGCACTCCACTTTACTGCACTGCACGACTGACCCTCAACAGGCCTGGGCGACTGATAAACTGCTGCAGCTGCTGCCCTTTATATAGCACGACTTTCACTCAAACTCCTGGTCGCTCTCAATTTTTGAGCCCGGCGCTAGGTAGGAGACGTTGCTGTCGACTTTTAAGGGACCAATGGGAGCACTCTCTGCCGCTGCAAGCATTTAGCTTCGCCTTACTTAAATATGAATACATTTAGTTCTGTAGTTATTTTTTTTCCAGAGAGACATACTCATTTTCAATGGATTTATTATCAATGGCTATGACGCTTTCAAGTAGGCTAAATCTAGCCTGAAATAGGCTAAGCTGGCAACACTGCAATTAGCAGCTACGTATATAAAAAAATAAACTGATTCAATTCAATTAGAACCTGCAGAAACTCAAGTTCACGGAAAAACGATTTAGCGTTGAAATAAGGAATAAGACTAGGCAGGTTGTTATTATAATGATTTCTGTGGCTACAGTAAAAGCTCCACAATGGGATTTTTAATATCAAAACTAATTAATGCACATTTTTTATAAATTTACATATTGAACTAGCAATGTTAAAGTCCAAATTAATAAAAACTAAATACTAAATATATTAACATTCTTTTGAGGCACGTGTTCGTCAGCAGAGCTTTCACTGTACTTTACTATATGACCGCATCTAAAAGTAAACATTAACTTGAACCGACTCTAGCAATTTAAATTTATATAATTGGCCTTTCTGCACTTCCGAAAAACCATGCGTAGATTTCCTTATGGCCCGGCACTAAAAAAAAATGTTTATTGCCGGCTACTGCTGCGAGAAAAAACGTTTGCCATTACACCATCAGTAAAGTCTATGACAAACAAACAAAAATAAAACATACAATTTTTCGACCGAGCGACCAACCGATCATTGCGTCAAAAGCTGTAGCTGCGATAATTAAACCTCGACCATATTTAAAAACAATTCAAGTTCAGTTCAAAATCGTAAACAAGAAATCGCAACAGCAGCAGCAACAACAATAACAACAACAACAAAAATATTCAATCATCGCAAATACGATACATGCTACGTTGTCTGATTGGCATAACGTAATGACTATGCGCCGTTGACCTTCGACAAAGGCTGTTTGACATGAATTTAAATCACATAACCGAATACAAGTTAACTCCAAATCAATAGCTCGCTTGGCGCGCGTTTACTTTGTTAGTTAAATATACAACCTTCAATCGTAGTTAAAAGTGAGTGTTCGGCTAATATAGCAGAATTATATACGAAATTTTGATAAGCGCGCAGTATTAGACTTATTGCTTATATTGTTTTTGTTGCTTTTGGCTGCTGCGGCTGCGGCTGCTGCTACGTGACGCAAATGACGCAGTTACGTATACGTTTTTAGACAGCATTCGTGCAATGATGTATTTATATGTTCACGAGAACTGCATTTTTAGCTTACCTTTTGTCCAAATTTTATATTTTGGAGCCAACAATATTATACGCCGTACCATACTCATTATAAAGCGCTGCTGTTGCTGTTATTACGGAAATCTCAGCTGGCGGGTCGGCTTGCACTCACACACACACATACACACAACGCTCTCTTCTTCTTCTTTCTTCTACTGCTCGGGGGCTGCGGGCACTGCTGTTGTTGCCAGTCTGTTCTGGACTATTTTGACAAGCAAATATTGCTAGTCATTCGTATTGGTTTTGCACAATAATCTGAATTGGTTGCTGTTTTCACTCTTAAAAGACAACAATTTTCTTTAGCGTTTTTGATTTCTCGTTCCTGCTAGCCTGTTGTACGACGCAATTGTTAATTTTTCGCTGCTGCTCTGTTGGTACTTTTGTGTGTGGAAAATGTGAATAAAATAGATTGCGCTCGGCGCTTGCCTCTACACACTTCTTTGGCGGTGTGTGTGTCTGCATATATGTGTACGTGTGTGTGTGTGTATATGTGTGTGACTGTGTGTGAGTATATGTGATTGTCGGTGTCAACGTTTGTGCTTGTGTGTTTCGGTTTTTCTGATTTCTTTTCACACGTTGTTTCGTGCTCGTTGGCCAGAGTATGTGCTTCTTCTTGTTGTTGTTCGTATTTTGGTATTCACTAGCAGATGTCTTTTTGAAACCGTTTTTGTGGCAGATCCATGACAGTTTTTAATATATCTTATTAAATAAAAACGGCCCGTATTTACTGTCCTGGCTGTAATGGTAATTACGCGTTGTTGCCGTTGCTCATACTAAATCGAATTTAGTTGATGGGCTCACAAAATACAACAATGTGAGACAGCTGTTAATTGGAATACAGCTGATTGGTATGGGCTCTTCTTCTTGTCTGTGCCGCGCACCGTGGTACATACAATGACATAAACCGATCAAAATGTTAATCTAAAATCATACACAAAAGAATTTGGACTGTTTTACGGCCAGAAATATAGAAAAAAAATTTATATATATGAATTTGAAAAGAACTTGAATTTCGGTTCGTCAAAAATTTTTTATTTGACTTGTAATTCTAATTTCTAATTTTTTGCCAAACAGTTTCTAGTAGCCAGGTATAATTCGGCCCTTTTTGCTAGCCTTTTTCAATTTCTTGTTCTTCTTGTCTTTGCTGCGCTTATCCAGATTCTCCTGTCGTTTCTTCTGGCGCTTCGCTATATCATGGTCCACCTTTTGCTTGCGTTCCTCCCACTTCTTCTTTGCAGCCCGCTTCTCCACTTTCTTCTTCTTTATGGCCTTCTGGAGGAGCTTGGTGTCATCTTTCACTTTCTTGCCCTCAATTTTATCGAAAGCCTTCTTCCAAGCAATACTATTTTGCAATTCGGCTGCCTTATCGCTTTGACCCTGTTCCTTCAGCTCATTTATTTGTTGGTTCGTTTGTTTCAGCTCTTTAAGTATTTCCTTTGGGTTTTTATGCGATTTCTTAGTCTTAGCTCCTGGAGTGGCAGCAAAATCAATTTTGGAGTAAACAATTTTTGACTCCTCATTAAATACAGGTTTCTGCTGAACGGGCCGAATTGTTGCCTTGCTATCTGCTTCCTCTCCATCTTCATTTGATTCTGCTTTGATAACTCCAAGTTTCAGTTTCTTTTGTTTTATATTCTCGTTTTTCAATATTTTTGCAGAGGATTGGAGCAGCTTTTGTACCCCTTTACTCCGCTTGAGTTTCTTTGCTTCACGTTTCTTCTGTTGCCGTTCAGTGGTCGGTCGCTTTTTCTGACGCAATTTGTTCTTTATGGATGCAATGCGTTCGTCCACATCCTCCTCCTCGGCGTCGTTGTTGTCTTTACGCTTGGCTTTAGTTAGATGTTTCAACTGGGCACCTTTTGTCTTTGGCGTATTTTCATCATCAGAAAGCAGATACTCCTCATATGTTTCTTTTTCTACAATATCAATGTATGAATGTAATGCTTAATAATGTTTGCTTTATATTTACCATCTTCTTTAGAATAAGGCACATTGTTCATTATCAACAGGCGATATACCTCTCTTTCGAATCGCATCCTTTTGGTGTGCTCGTCTTCTTTTTTGCACTCTTTTACGCCATATTCACGGTTGTATTCCTCCCAAGCGCTATTTACAGCGTCTTCAGCGGTAAAATATTCCATTCGGAATTTGAGTAAAATTCAATGTTTTCAAAAATAAAAACTAAATTTGAGTTCACACGTGCATCTGAGACTCTTTAGAGAAAGCATTTGCCAAGCTGTGATAGTTGGCTAGTCGATTAATTAATCGAATAATACATTGAGTTCATTTTTGAATACATACTTTTTAATATTGTTTTTAAAACAGCTGAAAATTATTTTTTATTTATTTATTCATTAATATTACATGCATTCAATGCACCCAAATTTTCATAGTTGTGCGATAATATCACTAATTAGAGAGCTCTCTGGTCAGTGATAATATTCAATGTCTATCGATAGTTTCAGTGGCTTTGCTTGCAACTTCTCCTATCTGAGTGACAGCTATCGATAACTCATCGATATTCACATACCTTGACTTTACATCATTTTTCAGTAATTCGTCGGCCGAGAATGACTAATTTTTGCCAGTGTTTAAAAATATTTGTAAATGCCGAGCTAATTTAATACAGTAATATAAACCACAACAAAGTGCATTTTGTTTTTGTTAGACGTAAAACGGCGGTCAGAAGTGTGTGTGCAAAGCGGCAACAATATGAAGAAACAATTTGCAAAAATTAAAATTGCTGCTGAAAACCTAAGGTAAGTGCAAAGGCCAGGGGGCGCAGGTAGCCGCCATCCAGTGCCAGCGGCGGCAGCCGTGAAGACGCGACGAAATGCCAGACAAAAGCGCAAGCAGTTAGCGGCGGGCGCAGGTGTTGCCTCATAACAACAACAACAACAGCACAACAAAAACAAATCAATGCCAAAATAAAACACAGCGCTTACGTTTTTTATATGCATGTTTCTTACGTCGCTGATGACCTAACGGCAGTCGTGTGTAATGACATTTACAAACATATACATACATATGTATATCGATGCCTCATTGTCTGTATTTGATTTCGCTTTGTTTTGTTTTGCTTTGTTTCTTCACACAGATCTACAAAATCTGACTGTAAAGACTTTGAGCTAGAGACCATTGAGAAGCAAGTAGACCGATATCGGGATACCATTGAGAAAATTGTGCGCAAATTACCAGCGCTCAGCAACAGCAGTGGCGGCAGCAGTAGCAGCAGCAGTAATGGCACGGTTACCATTGAGGAGCATGACAAGCGAATCAAGAAGAACACGCACTACAAGATTGCCCAAGCGCTGGATGAGTCGGCCAAGGAGTTACCTAAGGATATGCCATTGCACAAGGTTCTAGCAAATTGTGGTGAGTAGCTAAGTCCAACTGTGCGTGTGTGTGTGTAGGGGTATTTTTATCGGCGTCTCGCTGGCTGTGATAAGGGCGCCACCTAGAAAAAATTCTAAATTGAAAAAACATTAAAAATGAAACCGCACAAAAAGCGCAAGGTGTGCACAGTTATGTATGTGCTGGCGTGTGTATGTGTATACACATATAGGCGCATAAATTTCTATGCATATGCTTTTATGACTGTGTGTCACGGGCTCGCGTGCGCTCTGCAAGTGTGTGTGTGTGTGTCTGTTTGTGTGTGTGGCCTCGCCTTGTCTGCGCTTGGCCTTGTGGCATTTACATTTCTCAACTCAGCGTTGTCGATTATTATACCCTATTCCTATTGATAATGTATAAAAGGGTATATAAATACTTAAGATTAATTAATAATAGGTATATGTATATGTACATGCATATACATATATTCTTGGACTCTTTCTAAGCCTGTACAATGACCTCGTATGCGATAAATATCGATTATCAGCATATATAAGTCAGGAAGTTATTGAGAACAAATTACAAACCGCGTAATTGATTTCTCAGAGTATAAGGAAAAATATTAGACTATGTACGTATACCCGATACAGGGTATATTCTAGTCTTGCTATGGCTAATCTCACTAAATCACTATTTACTTGCTGTTGTTGTCGCTGCTGCTTAGCGCGTTTTTTAATCATTATAATAATTTTATGATGATTTTTTTTTCGTTGCTTTCTTTTACACAGTCGTTCGTTGGATTGACTGCTCTCTGCTGCGGTTAGCCGCTCTTATTTTTATTTACTTATCTGTTTATACAGTTTTTGTTTTTTGTTTTTTTTTTTCTTTGTTTTGATTGTTATTGTGTTTACGCATTTAGCCCCCGCCTTTACCTCCGCCAGGCAACACCCGCCTTTTAATGCCCTGTTTTATGGCCCGCTACTTTCAATCAAAACTCTATTGTGCATTTCTTTTGGTGCAAGACAAAGGCCCAGTAAAAGTGATCTGCAATAATTATGATATGATTATGATAAGTTGAGTAAAGTAAAAGTTGCGTCAAAAAGAAATAAAATGTAAGATCCCTCACAAGCTTCCTACATAAATATAAGCATACATATATAAATATTTAAATATTCAAAATAGCCCCCACACCTTTTTTCGTTTGTTGCTATTTCTCTCTAATTCCCTCTCGCTCTTTCCTCCCCCATCCACTTTCTGTTATATTACTCATTATTGACTCCACTTACGCTTTTAGCATATGAGACACACACACGCACACACACACACACATGCACGCAATGAGAGGCTCACATAGACATTTATAAGCACACCAGATGCGTGCAGCAATTGCAATTTAGTTGAGCGTTGCGTCAGCGTCGACTGCAGCAGCGACTCATCATCATTTGCAGCTTCAGCTTCAGTTTACCTTGGTTCAACGTTCATTTGATAAGCTCTGTCCACAGTATTATGACATAAGGCGAAACAAAATAAAGCCTTTGTTTGGTCTCCATGCAAAAGTAGGTGAACTATTCATGCATACGACTCTCCCGTGCTCTCAGCTGTCGTTCCGTACGTGTATTGTATATGATTCGTGTTTGGTCAACTCTATATATATTTGAATTTACACAAAGTTCACGTACACAAATGCTAACAAGGAAGCATATGCATATGTTAAAATAAATACTATTTGTGTTCAGTTAACGAGTATAGCTCGCCAATCACTTTTTCTTTTGTTCCGTTTGGAGTTTTCTCTTCAATTTTGAGGTTATATAAACCTATTTGCATTTCAAGTGGGTCAAAAGAAGATCATATAATTGTTTGCAAATTGAAAGTGCAAAAATGTATCATATAAATAATAACGATCTATTTAAAAATATCGCTATCATATTTTTATATTATTTTATTTGTTATTCAAATTAGAGATTATACAAATTTAATATGTACGTGATTGACAAATTTAAAAATATGCACTTTACAAAAATATTTTGTTATTTAACTTAGTATAATCTATTACTATTTTTAACAAATATAACTTAGTTTCGTATTCCCAAATTAAATTTGAGCGACAGCTATTGTTATTTAGCCACCCTAATGGATTTGCCCCACTGTACCAAGTGTGCCCTTTTGCAATTTATTTCTTAGCCACGACACGCTTTAATTCCACCTTCTCGTCTCATCGCCTTCTCTTAGCCACGACGAGCATATCTTCAATTTTATACTTCACTTGTGTTGTCGCCATTCCCTCTGCAGCGGGCCCCCTATTGTACTGTCGTATTGTGGGCTCCGCTGCCGGCGTCGCACTCAACACAATTATCACAATTTTGCTTACTCAGCTTCGTCAGAGCAGCTATAGTTACGCCCCCGCGCCCGCTCCCACAATGCACGGCCCACAACTTTGAACCGGCAGCTATAATAACAACAACAACGACACCATCAACAGCAGCAACAACAACAACAACTTTTGCTACCGTCCCTTCGGCTGCGATAAGGTCTTAAATAAGCATTGACTTCCTCACTTAGACACGCTGAAATACAGAGACACACACACACAAACGTTTCCTTAATATGATCAAAATAGAGTTTTGTATTTATTTAAACTAAAAAAAAACCCTTTCGCAATTTGCAGCCGAGCTGGAGAAGACAATCGCCGAGTGCATCATCGAGAGCGAACTGGAAACGGAGACGAAAGTTGTGCGGCGTTTGAAAAACATCTTAGATAAAGAAATACAAGAGATCTCAACGCTAAAGCGTAATGTGTCGCGCACACTACAGGAATACACCTCACTGAAGCGCAGCCATGAGGTAAGATATCATTCGGCGTCCACAAATTAAGCATCAGACAGCAGATAAATCTTTGACTCTCTGCATAAGAGGTTGTACACAGTGAGAAATGAATGTTGATTTCAATTTTTAAAAATCATTCATTAAGAATTATAGAATCGGCTATGTACAAATTAGCTTAGCAAAGTGTGGAAAAACTCATTTATCTGAAAATATATTTGATAAATGTGAACAAAAAGTGAAATCAACATTAATTTTACTATGTAACTCTTACTATCTTCCTATATTACGTTTCTCTTTAACACTAAGTTAATCAGGCGAAAAATTGTTGGAAGGTATAAATTATGGGCAGCTGTTCAAAAATGATTTGTGATAATAATGTAGCACTTATCCAAATTGTGGAATGTGCGTTGATTATGTTTAAAATGAGCACGATTTCAGAGAGAAAGAAGGAGAGAGAGAAGAAGAGAGTCAAAGTAAATAACAAACAATAAAAATAACAGCAATAACAATAAGTATTTAAACAACTTCTCAATTGCGTGGAGCTCAGACCTAAATGCACAGTGGTCTAATGTCACGCGAGGTCTTCAATAACAGAGGTACTGCTGTAAATAGAAACTATTATTGTTTGGTTTATGGCCAGTGCACGATTGGAACTTGGTTTAATATTATTTAGTTGATTTTCCTGGAATTTATGGCAACTTCTCATGTGGTAACTTATTGCTAGCTCTGGGCTTTCTTTTCAGCAAAAATGAGGATATTCATGTTACTTGATTCTCTTACCATTCTAGATCTTACATATAGAGCTTATCAAATTTAAACTTCCCTTCCTTTGTCTATAGTTCTGCTCATAGTTGTCAATACAGATTCCGATTTGTTAATTTGGCCATTTCCTCTCCCTTCTGTAGCTGATAAACATCTCTCGCGCATTTTGCACACTTTTTCAATTGACTTTGAAGCACTGTGCCTTGTGCATAGTCAGCCACGACCGGATGACAAGCGCCGGCCAAGAAAGCAATCAATTCTTTATTCTTTTCTCTCTCTCTTTATAATTTCAGTTTATTTCTTTCTTTATCATCGCACAATAGAATTGTTGGCATTTGTTTTTGTTGTTGTTGTTGTTATTGTTGTTATTCGATTTCATACGTCGCTTGGCGTCGCTTGTCTTTATGATATGTCCGCAGGATTGTTTGGCTTTTTAACGACTCTTGTTCCAATTTCTCTGGCAACTGGCGTGAGTCGTTGCTAGTACAGTAGATGCCCTATTAACGAACAGCTGCTGCGAAACTATTTTTGCGCAGGATATACAAATGTTTTTAGGAACAGCATTCCAAGGGTAATAATCTGCATTCTCAACCAGAAAATATAAAAATATTTGAATTTTGTAGATTTTCTTGCAGAGTTTTCATAATATCTAGAATTCGCAGGCAGGTTTTACTGTAGCCCTGTCGTTCTACTGTGGCCGTTAACATTTGACTTGATTACTTGACAAATTTTGTGACGACGCAGTCAATATATTGTTCACTTCTTGTTTTTATTTATACGATATTGCTTTTGGCATTGCTTTCCGCTTTACAAGCCAAGACAACTCGACGACACGCTTTATGTCGTATATGGAGAGTCGGGCAAATCAGTCGCAATACAATTGTTGCTGCTGTTGTTGATGTTGATGTTGATGTTGTTGGAGTGCTGCTTAAGGTGTCGGAAGACGTTCATTGACTTGGCCGGACAACCAAGTGACATCATAATTGAAAATTGAGCCAATGAGCGAGTGAGCGAATGAGCGAGCAAGCGAGTCGCAGCTGTCAGTCCATTAATTGTCTATTCGTATCATATTTTAGTAGCATTTCTTAGACACCCTACATACGCATATATGCACACCATAATCTTATCGATAGCATTCGAGTCGGCTCAATAAAACGTAATGCGGGCAACCTCTAGCTTTTCATATTGGGAACGCTCTAATTGAGCTATATATGCGATATGTGCCAGACACAGTTACATACATCATTTTTGGTGTACCTTGCAAGTGCTAACTGCGGATGTTCGTAACTGTCCCGCATACCCAGTTTCAACTCTAATGTAGGTCATTAGAGGTTATATTTATATGCATATCCATATCCATATATATACGATATATTGTGAGTCACACGCCGACTGGCATTGGAATATGTTGTTTGGGGCTTAGTTTATAATTAGATGGTGGATGCCATTGTTTGCTCATTCCCAGTTGCAGATTGATTGACAGCAGCATAGTGAAAGAGTGAGAGGCCGATGGAGCTACTATTGAATAAAAGAAAAAGAAGGAGAGAGAAGCAGTTAATTTGTCACGATTTTGCTTATTTTTAGCAAACTTACGACGCTCGACCTATTGACGACACGTAGAGGGAGCAAAGTGTGCGACGCGATAAGGAATCTTATAAAGGCAGCATTGTTGGGCTGATTAAATACTCTTTGAAAGCTAACAGAACAAGCTAAATGAAATTTTTAAAAAATACTAAATGTTTGATTCATAAATTATTCCGATTTATAGCTTGGATTAGTGTTATGTTTCAAGATTTACTCTTACAGTTATCTGATTCTTATATTATAATAAATCGTTTTCCATTAATTGCTAAACTGTCTTATATAACGTCTAAGGTAGGAGCACAGCAGTCCATTCAAATATTCATCGAAATTACTATTCACGATTTTCTTATCAATTGCCGTAGCATTAAATCGCCTGGCTAATGCCGAAATTGTGAGTCAGTGCTTGGGCAATGTGTGGTTTGTCAATGTGCCGCAAATATCGGTCAGGCTGTGCACAGGCCCATTAAATGCATTAAATTTACCTTGTAAATGCTTCCGTTTGCCGTACAACAAAAGGCATTGATTGACACAGCTGGGCAAAGGGTCTATTTATAGTCTATACTCTCAATGGGGCACTAGTGGAGAGCGCAGCAAACATGACAACAACAGTCGCAGACACTTGTCGCGCAACAGCGACGAGTTGGAGGTGGTTAAAGATTACAGTAGGGGAAGTCAGTGTCGCGAAGCGTGTGAAAATGACACCAAGTCCAAACAAAAGAAAGACAAGTGAGAGATTTCTTATCGGTGGAATGTTTGACTAAACTGATGAACGGCCCATTTTTCACTTTCAGGCTGCAATACGACTGGATGAGCCCGCGGCCAAGGTGAATCACATTAAGACCCAGCAGGAGGAGTGTGAAGTGAAGCTGGAAAAGGAGCGCGATGCCTGGGCCGCACAAATGCTGGAGCTAATTGCCAAAGAGGACGAGATCGTCAACTGCATTCAGGACTATGTGCTCAACCAAAGAAACTACCATGAGCGTGCGCTGCAGCAGGTGAATGCATCGCTGGCGCGCATTCAGGACACCATACAGGGCACAGAGAAGTCGCGATTTGGCACCTCGCTCAAGGAGCACTTGCAGTCGACGCACCGGGACATCTCCTACATTGTGGAGCTCTGCTGCTGCTGCCTGCTGGAGCACGGCCTCGAGGAGGAGGGTCTGTTGCGTGTGGGCTGTGCTAGCACCAAGCTGAGGCGCATGAAGCACGCGCTGGAGGCGCAGCATGTAAAGACACCCCTGCCGCTGGAGTATCAGGATCCACATGTCATCGGCTCCATACTGAAGCTGTATCTGCGCGAACTGCCCGAACCGCTGCTCACCTACGGGCTGTACAAGGACTTTATACGCGTTGCGGAGCGGCATTCCGAGGCGGAGCGCAAGACGGAGATTAAGGCTATTCTGAGCAAGCTACCCAAGGAGAACTATGCCAATCTGCGCTATCTTACACGCTTTCTGGCCCTGATGCAACAGCGGGCCGTGCACAATAAGATGAGCTCCCAGAACTTGGCCATTGTGATGTCGCCCAACATGCTATGGCCGCGCGTTGACAAGAGCAGCAACGCAGCAGCCGACTATATTGGCCAGGTGAACAGCTCCTCGGCCGCCAACATCATTGTGGAGCTGCTGATCAGTCAGTGGGATTACTTCTTCGATGGCGATGTCGAGTTCTATGTGACGCTGCAGCGCCATAAGCTCTTTGTCGAAGGCAAAAGCAAATCGAATTCCTCTAATGAGCATTTGGACAAGCACGATGGTGGTAAGTATTGGGCATTAGGCAATTTTATAGCAGCTATTTAACTCTCTTTCGTGTCATCCTAGAAGTCATGGAGAGTCCACGTTATGGCACACTGCGCCGCCAAAAGCCCAATGCACCGTCGCCTCCAACTAAAGGTGAGGCCACCAGCAATGGTGTTGGCTCCAATCACCGGCCGCATGCCAAGGAGCTGTTCCCGCAGCAGGATGACAAGTCAGAGAAGCAGGAGAAGCAAGAGAAGCCTGCAAAGCCTCCCCTGCCCAATCTGCCATCATTCCAGCAGCCTGCTACAGCCAGCCAGCCGACGCACACACAGCTGGAGGCATTGCCGCCGCCACCAGTGACGCCCGCCAAGCCGGTTCCAATGACGCGCACACAGTTCTTTGGCCTGGACAATCTGCCCTCGCCCACAGCGGATAGGAGGAGCATCGATAGCATTGGCAGTTTTCGCTTAAAGCCCGATGTGCCGCAAAAGCCGCAGTTACCCAAGCGGCCTGTGGTGCTGTCTGTAGGGACCGGAGGTGTGGGTAGTGGTGGCTCCAAAAACGAAAGCAAGAGCGACGACGAGGCCATAACACCCACACAAGCAACAATTGACAATGGCAACGTACGCTTCACGACGGAGAAATTCATAGAGAAGCTACGACACGAAAATTGTGATACAAATGGCACGCGGGAGGAGGCATCAACGGGAACAACAAACAACATCAATACCAACACAACGGCAACAACAATAAATAGTACGACCGGCACAGAACACAATCATAATCATGAGCGGCAGCCGTCGGCGGGAGAGAAGGAGCTGCAGGCCTTGCCTACCACACCCATATCGCCCAATTCATTTCACACTCCCAAAAGGCCAACGGTGCCAGCGCCGCCACCGCCAACAATACGCAAGCCGTCGGAATAGTGTAGTCAATAGCGAATCCTTATTTAACCGGTGGCGCTTTCTATATGTTAACCGTAAGACTTGAACGCACAGTAATTTAGTTAAACCAACAACAACAAATCAAACAAAGCCTTTCAATAAGTTGCATTAAATTATATAGCGATTTATATTTATATATAATAGAGTGAAAGCAACTTAATATTCTGTATTCAGCATTTGTATTCTTTGCAATTTAATTGATATGTGTTTTACTTTAGCCATATGTGAAAAGATATACATACATACATATATAAACATTATATTATATACACATGTATTAGTTTGTAGTAGGCATTCATGAATTAACTCAATTTTGTCGAAATTTACGCAATTTTTTAATTATTATTGTTATCCTTATTTAAAAGGTTGTGATACACAGAAGAAGAAGAGAAAAAAAAAACATGAAGGTTTGAGTTTCCTTAATTTTGCTTTGCTCTGTTCTCCACTTTCTGAAAGACAACTTCAAGTGTGATTTAAGATTTGAAAAATTTGTTGCCTTCGTTTTTAAATTTGTTACGCTTTGTACTAATCGAAATTGAACTGGTCTTCGAAATTCCTCGAGAAGAGGATATTGTGAGGATGATAAAGCGACGCTCGAGCGTTTTTCTATGTACATAGTATATATATATAAATATATTTTATTGAAAGTCTTATCAGTTTTAATTGACGTACTCTGTATTTTTGCTTTATTAATTTGTAATGCAACTATTAATATTATTTTTTATCTATATTAAACCGATGTATGAATATTTGTTGTGTATATAAAATATACATTAAAAGTCATTTATGATTTCCTGAACTGTTTAGTTATTTTCCTTCGTATATCTATAATTTAATTGTAAGATTCAATCGTGAATGTGAAATATACTCACGCTTCAGGGCATATAAATAGAAACGTAAATTTGAATGAATGAATGAATCAATTGATAAGCCAGATGTTTGCTTGCATAAATATCGCTTTATATGGAAAGCAAAATATACAGGTCAGCAATTCTTTGACTTTGACGCGAGTTCGTTATAAAATAGAAAGCAATATACTTGTGCTATTAGTTATTTTTTTAAATCTTTCAAAACTCTCTTGATCTATCTCTCCTAATATTTTTTACTACTTTTTGTAGACTTTTCTATATATTTCTCTGTAAGCTGAACTAGTTAAGAACCAGGCACAACAAACCATAAGTTAAATCGATCTATCTTTGACTATTACTCAAAGCATTTTCAATTCTGAAAAGAAAAAATAATAATCGAAAAAGATGTTGGATAAATTGTAATATTTGTGCCATACTTGAATTGAATACCTGATTGAAAATCTAAGAAATATATATAAATGCCTAAAGCAAAGAACGTGCACCTAACATCATCTATCATATCTAAACACTATATTTTAAAAATTATTATATTTATAAACGCTTCCACTGAAGCATAGAAAGCGAATAAGAATTATAAAATTGATATAGAAGTCAGACCAAGCTAAGAGAATAATGAATCAAAAGTTGAAGGCACATCGTACACATATAAACATATACATATATAGTATTTATAGCTGAAGAGTTCAGATAATGTTGATAAATTTGGAAATATATATTCTGCTACAATTGAAATAAAAAACGCTCTAGACATTGGCGACACACGCGATTGTTGTATTCTTTAAAAAGAGATTGGACCAATACATATAATATAGTCTATATAGTAAATAAGAACATATGATATCATCTATATATAACTAGCTTATGGGACTGTCTGCAGCACTGCAAAGATCAGGCAAGCCATAGACGCCTGTGATGTTGAGGAAATATAGCAGCTTTTGTGTTTGTTCTGTATTTGGCTTAATGGAGTTCTCAGTAACGCTGGGAGTTGCCTGTTTCGTTGGCTGTTCCTTAGTCTCCAGGTCACGCACATAGTCCATAAAATTGTCCACATTTAGGGGTGTCTCCTCGGCGGCCTTTGCCTCGCCTGCAGCTTGAAGTTTACGTTGGAATTCGCTACGATAATAATCATTAATCATGGACATCATGCTCTTCGAATACCTGTTAATCAGATAATAATATATGAATCATATGCACACAATTAACATAATCCTTGAGCTCTACCAATAGATAATGCCTATCAGCAAAATGCCTTGCATGAATGGGCCCACCATCCTCTCTGTAAAATGCGCTAACTCAAGTAATTCTCTAGGTCTATTGTTTCTGTTGCTGTTCCCGAAAGCTTTCCCACCATTGGTTTAGCATGAAGAACTGTTCCTTAATATTCGGCCAGGCCATAGTCACAATCAACATCACCGTATTGGCAAAAACAAACAATTTCATCATCTCAAATGCTGGCGAGGAAGAGAAGGAGGATTGGAAGGCATACTTTCATAAATAGTTCGTTCTTACAGACCCTCCGGCGTGCGCAGATAGTCTCCGAAGCCGGAGTTCAGGTCCTTGTCCTGTTCATCCTTTTGCTCTGGTGGCTGCTGTTCCTTGCTGTGCTTGCCCTTGCCCTCGGCCTTGTCCTTGCTCTGGCCGCGTCCTTTGCCGTGTCCGCTATGCTTGTGTCTGCCGTAGCCCGTCGATGTATTGGCAAAGGCCGATTTCTTCGATTTCATTGCATCCAATTGGAGCAGAGATAACAGCTGCTTCTGCTCCTGCTCCTATTCCTGCACCTGCTCACGATCCAGCGCCGTGCACGTCCAAACGCTGCCAAAGTTGCTCCAGCAATGACATATGACCACAATTTGCGACCCACTGCCGAGACTCTCGGCAATTTTATGGTTTCGATTTTATTGATTTGCATTGCTTACTGGCGCCAGGCGTCGGGTCTGCGGGCAAGCAGGTGAATTCACGAGCTCGTACAAACAGTCAGTAGAGCAATGCGCTTAAAATATCTATGCCTATTATATTTGTCACCCCGATTGGAATAGAGCACACTGGGCGTCTAATTGATTGCTCGAGTGCCCAGATCTTTTTATACTTTGACTATATATTTTATTTATTAATTTATATTTTTTGTGCAAAGAGTCAGAATTCAGATTATAATATTGTATAGTAACTTAAAAATTCTTAAATTACAATAATTTTTCTTTTATAAATATTTATGTACTATGAATATGAATATTGTAAGTTTCTCCTGGCATTAGGAGGCATTGGTGCAAAGACTTATCAAATGGAATGCTAAATTAAAGTATTCTTCACATTTTATTTATTAAATAAAATGTTGTTGGGCTCTAAACTAATGTATAATTGATCTACCTATCCCTTATGATTCGTAATATATAACTATAGACAACAAATATTATGAAATACAATATTCAAGTACAAGCTATAAAACTTTTCCAAATATCACATATTACAAGTGAGTGTTGTAGCAGTCAGCTTCCTTCTGCTGCAGCTGCTGCTCTTTCCTCGCACTCTTCTCCCACGCTCGAGGCGTACGCAGGCAGCAGGTGCAAAGCCCGCCCAGTATAACCAGCACACAGAAGACGGACAGGGAGAGGGCGACGTTGAGCTGCTTGAGCAATGTAAGGAAGGAGGCGGAGAGCAGCCAGACGCGAGCCCAGGTAAGCACAGAGAAGACAAACGGAGCTCGCTTCTCCGCAGGCAGAGATTCGCCCATGCAGGCAGTGAGCATGGCCAGAGCGCACGAGACGCCCGCCTTGGGCAGGAGGGTCAAGCACATCCACAGCATCTTCTCATAGAGCTCTGGCACTGAAAGCACAAAAGTGTAAATCATTTGTCGATGGGCGAAGCATGCATTCAACACCTACTCTTCACATCGTCTAGGAGCCAGCAGAGGCAGCCCACGCAGCCGCCCACAATGCAGAAGCCGCCCGCCCACTGCCACTTGTGGGCGTTGTGGCTGCGGCACAGGTAGACGGCGAGCAGACAGCCCAGAATCTCAGCCAGGCCCGCGAACATGGTGTTGGGCGTCACATAGTCGCGGCCAAAGCTGCGCACACTTAGCAGCAGGCCCAGGTGGCTGACGAGGAAGGTGGCCAGGGCCATGTGGGTGGCCAGCATGTGCAGCTTGGCATGCGGATGGCCGTGCCACAGCTCCAGCCAGCGTGCGGCTGGTGGCTGCGAGCGCAGCCTCTCGCCCAGCAGTTCCAGCTGCAGGCAGAGATCATCTGGCAACCTGGAGCAGCGCTCATTAGTGCGAGCTGCCTGCTGCAGCAGCTGCTGCACCTGCTCCACGGCAGTCGTCGGCTCAGCGCGCTGCAGCAGCCAGCGCGGCGACTCCGGCAGCCAGGGCAGCAGCAGCACGATGACAACGGGCAGCGAGGTGATGCCCACATAAACCTGCCGCCAGCTCTGGGCGAAAGCAGCAATAGCGGGCAGCAGCAGGACGCCAACGGACCAGGAGGCGTCATAGAGCAGAAGCACGCCCTGCTGGCACTTGCCCGCCGTAATATCGCAAACTGAAAAGCATAAAATAGGCAAATAAAATATATAAATAAAATACAATAAAATACACAAGTCTAACTTGAGGGATATAAAATCGATAAAGAATTCTTCAGGATAACCTGCTACGCACATATGGCTTGTCCGGCTGTCATCATGAAGCAGCAGCAGACGCCGGACAGGCAGCGGAAGGAGCAATGCAGGCTGAAATCATTGACCAGGCCCGTGGCCGTGCCGCAGCCGAGCAGACCCCAGATGCCAACGATGTAGACGCGCCGAGGACTGAGCACACGCATCAGCCGTGTGGCTATCACGCCGCCAATGAACATGCCGAAGAGATGCCAGTACTGGGACCAGGCCACAAAGATGTCGCTCAGGCAGACCAAATCGAACTCCATGATGAGCGAGCGAAAGGCGTGTGCGTAGTTGAACTGCAGGCACTGTCGCATTGCATAGTTGGCCTCGCCATGGGCGACCAGCACATAGCAATGATCGTCCGAGACGGTCGTGTTCTCGACGCCGCCATAGGCGCTCGTATCGCACCAGTACTCCTCGTTGGGGTACAGTTCGGGAGCTGTGAATATGATGAGGGCCATGAACCAGGCAGCCGGCAGCTTGCACAGAAAGATGATCAGCACGGAGCGCAGCTGCCAGATGCCGAAGTCACCCAGCACATGCGAGATGACATCTTCCGCTGCCGCCTCTGGCCTCTCCTCCTGCTGCTGCCGCTCAGCATCCTGCTGGCTGGTGTATATATGGCTCAGGCGGGCATGTACCTCTGGCGTGGGCGTCGGACGGCGCTTTTTCCACTTGGCCTCAGGGGGACTGTAGCCTTGGTGCATTCTCACATGTGTAGAATCGAGTAACCACGTCTTACGGGCTTCGAACCTCCAGCATAACTGCGACTACGCTTCAGCTTAGCGCCGCCACCAAAACGTCTGAACAATCGCGGAGCAGGGCCCCCGGTTGGTGCTAGTCGACGATATCGTCGCTAATCAGATTGTCACTAAAATTTGTTTCAGATGTTCGACTACGGTAAACATTGAAGTCTGACTAAACGATTATGTCAATAGGCTGTTATTATTTTTCTTTTTCTTTAAGGTTTTCCATTGTGGCTAATGAGTAGAGAGTATACAGACTTTTGACAGGCACTGTGTAACTGTGGTTAATGAAAACATCAAATTCACGTGACGTCCTTTCCATGTACATACATATATACTATTTGCTAAGTAAAATGTGGTATCAGTCATAAAGGCGTCATAAAGGCGATATCTCTTGATCATGATATGAAATCGAGTCAATATAGATTATTACTTAGTCTGTTTGCAACATTTTCATATTATTAAAATAAGTTTTAATAAACTATTGATAGGCTCAGAGTTCTCAAATTTACATTAACAGAATTTAACTATGCCATCTATAAGGATAGGGTAGGAATAGTCTTTAAACCCATTTATAAAAATTTGTTTAAGGCAGCGCAAGAGTTTTTAGTCGGGTTCCATTCCCTTTTAGCCAATACATTAACCCACTATTTTTAAGCAGCGCCACCTAGTGGCGTGGCGAGCAGACTATCTAATTGAATGTTATCAACAGTCAATTTGAGTTTAAATTGTGCAGTAAAAATGAAAAGAAATTATTAATTTATTAAATCATAACAACATACACTAAAAAGAGCAAAAAACGAAAGTAAATTGATTTATTTAATTAATTAATTCCAAATTTACTTTAAATTTCGTTGAGTCCATGGCAGCATCATTATTAAAACTATTGTTTGCCTAAAAACTTTAGTAATAACCATACTTTATATTAGTTTATATCAGATGTCGATATATCCACATATATTTATATCCAAAAAGTAAATATTTGTACTATCACAACATTCTTCGTTTAAGAAATGCTCAATGCAATTTTCAAGATTTGATGTTTTGGACAATTCAAAACAAAACTTATGTAAGCTCCGGCAAAAAGAGTTACGCGAGTGTTGTTTACGTTGCAGAGTTGAAGACAATTAAAGTGCAAAAAACGTGTTTACATAGCACAGCCAGTTGCTGGAAGCTTTTTACTTTCATTGCAGCAACAACAATTGGCGAAGCTGAGCAAACGTGGCTGAGCTGCTGCAGTTGCAACCGGAGAGAGCAGCGGCAACTGCGATCAGTTGCATTCGCGCCAGCACAGTGGCCACAACGAGATGGACGCCCAGTTGGATATCTACAAAGATGCCGTCGTCTTCATAACGGGCAAGTTTTCATTCTTCAATGATTTCTATTTGCCTAATGCAGCTCCAATCGATAGGCGCCACTGGCTTCGTGGGCAAAGCTCTGCTGGAGAAGCTGCTCTGGAGTTTTCCCCAGATCAAGTGCATCTACATGCTCATCCGCGCTAAGGCTGGCGTTTCGCCTGAGCAGCGCTTCCAGAACTTCCTGCAGAACGACATATTTCAGCGCTTGCGCAGCTCATTTCCCGAGCGTCTAAAGAAAATCTCATATTTTGCGGGCAACATCGAGGATGATAATTTTGGTAAGACGCGCGTTTCGAGAGTGAAAATACGCAACGAAAAATTGTCCATAAAGCTTTTCCTTTTCATTTTCTTTTGAATCCCAACAGGTTTGCATGAGCGCGACAGAGACGAGCTTTGCGCAGAGGTTAATATTATATTCCACAGCGCCGCGACAGTAAGTTCCAGTTTGATACGGTCTCTTCATATATAGCCATATAGATCACCTCCGCTTACAGGTGCGCTTCAATGAGTGCCTCAATGTGGCAGCTCGCGTCAATTCGCTGGCCACCTACAATCTGCTGGAGATGTGCACCCAAATGCGCCAATTGCAGGTAAGAGAGAGAGAGAGAGAGAGAAGGCTGAAGAGTGTCAAAGTCATTTACTTCAAGTAAGAATGGATTGATATCAACTAAAGCATGAGACTGGAGCCCAAATCATTTCAACTTGAATGCACTTCTGCTGCCTAAGTTCCTTTTTATACCCTGAGCGTATTGCCAATGGGAAATGCGGTGCAGGTAACAGAAGGCGTGGCTGTGTCGTCTTTCTTTATCCGTCTATCTGTCTGTTTGTCCGTCTATATACCACGCACATATCAAGGTTATTGCAAGAAATCAATGTTTTTTGTTTTAAAGGTATCAATTAAATACCCTTAAAAAATTCAGCCATAAAATGATATGTATTATACTCCAATTTTCTATTTAGATGTATGTGTTTTTTATGATATTTGCACCTCCTTTATATTTTGCATACTGACTCTACTCTATGACCAAACTCCTCTTCGCAGCTTAGTTGCAAATATACCCAAATTGTGAATGACAGATTTTTTTTTATTTTTTAGAAAATGTCAGATATTCAATAAAAATGTGTGCATGGCTGACAGTTTCATTTAATTCCGTTGTCAGTCACAATTTATTAACCAAAAAAAAGTTTGGCAAATTAGCAAAAGCAACGCTGAACAGCGACAAACATTTTCCCTATGCACACATACAAACATGCAAGTGTTTTTCTATGCAGCTGCACACATACACACATGGATACGTTATATTATTATTATAAAAATCAATCGTATTTGTGAGGCTCTCTCAATTTAGTTTTCAATAAGTTTTTAAAGTTTTGTAAGCATTACTTAAATCTAACATCTTAAATGTGTTTTTAAAGCTTTAAGCTAATTTTAATTGTTAATAATTACAATGAAAAACTGACATTTATTATTATTCCTGATGATATTTCTGTTTATTTTTCAGCGTTTTCTGTACGTCTCCACTGCGTACTGTAATCCGGGTCGCAAGTATGTGGACGAGTGCCTTTATGCCACACTGCCGCCTGTGGACTGGCGCCAGTTCCTGAGCGCCGTCAAAAAGATACCCGAGGAGTACCTGAACCGGCTGGCCGACTACATAAAGGGCCCGCACGTGAACACGTATACGTTCACCAAGTCGATAGCGGAGCAGATTGTGAACTCGTACAGGGACCGCATACCCATTGTCATAGTGCGACCCTCGATTGTGACGGCCGCCCATCGGGAGCCGTATCCGGGCTGGATCGACAACATACAGGCGATCAGCGGCATTATGATGGAGATCGGCAAGGGCGGCATCAGCAGCATTTTGGGGGACAAGAATCTGATTTGCGACATTATCCCCGTGGACTTTGTGGTCAATGCAATGATCATGATGGTGCACAAAGCGGAGCTGGGCTGGTGGGTCGATCGCATAGCCACTCTGAAGATCGGGGAAGAGTAATTTGAACGTTTTCCCTTGCAGCATCAGCGTCTGCAATGCCACCTCAGGCTCGACGAATCCCATCAGCTGGCAGCGACTGGGTGAACTGACCATGAAGTGGTCCCGCATCTATCCCACCAGGCGCATGATCATGTTTCCCAACTTCAAGTATCGTCGCGGAGCCCTGCGGCACGAGCTGGCCGTGTGGCTGCTGCACTTTGTGCCCGCTCTGCTGATGGATCTGCGCACTCTGGCGCTGGGCTCCAAGCGGCGCTTCGTCACGCCCATTGCCAAAAAGTTTCGACAGGCCTGCCTAGCGGGTAATCAAAAGAGTCGCTCCCTGAAGATCATTCCTAAGCCGATATCCCCTCTCGCTTGCAGGCAGCTTCTTTTCGCTGAACGAATGGATATTCAAGAACCGCAGTCGATTCTACTTCAAGCAGCTGATTGACAACGGTACTTTTGGAGAGCTCTACTGGAACCTGGAGGAGCTCGACTACGATGACTACGTCAGACGTCATGTGATCGGCATCAATAAATATTTACATCGGGAAAAGTTTACAGTCGATTCCAATAAAATGCAGGTGACCAGGTGAGTTTCATAAACTGATTATCAGATATTGAGTTTCAGTAGAGTGTTGAGAGTAAGCGAGAAAGTACGTTCCGAAATCTCTTCCTCTTCTCTTTGACTACCTGCAGAATCTACTGGTTCTGGATATTTGCGCACCTGTGCTTCTATATGCTGCTGGTGTACATACTACTCTAATCCAATCCCATCCAATGAGCTAAGCAATAAATTCTTTCGCTTGTAACTAATCACAGAGAATTGAGTTTTATTAGCTTAGTTAGTATACAGATTAAAAGAGAAGGAGTTGGGATAGCTCACAGGCTCACAGCTCTATAGGCGCGTATTGTGCACATCCGACTCGATGGTCCAGACGGGCGCATTCAGGGGCGACTGCTCCTTCTTGTCCTGCTGCTCCTGTTGCTCCAGCTGCGCCATTACGGGCGCCGTGCTGGTGCGCGGCGTGAGCAGGAGGCAGGTGCAGATGCCGCCCAGAATGCTGAAGACGCTGTAGGAGGTCAGCGAGAGGGCGGTGTCGATGCGCTTGAGTACGTTGAAGAAGGGCGCCGAGAGCAACCAGACGCGCGCCCAGGTGATCACCGAGAAGACGAAGAGCTGCTTCTTGTTGGCCGGCACCAGCTCGTTCATGCAGGCCAGGAGCATGGACTGGGCGCAGGAGACGGCTGCCTTGGGTATCGTCGCTATGATCATCCATAGCGAGACCTTCAGCTCTGCATCCACTGTAGCAGAGAGAGAGAGAGGGTGAGAGAGAAAATATAGTCTGAGTCAAGGCAAGGAGGATTCTCTTTAGCACTCACTGGAGTCGGCGCCCGTGAAGAGCCAGCCCATGCAGCCCAGCATGCCAGCGAGTATATTGAAGGTGCCAGCGCACTGCCACTTCCATTTGTTGTGCTTCAGCGTGAAGTGCAGCGCCAGGAAGCAGCCAATGATCTCCGAGAAGCCTGAGGAAGAAACTTCAGTTAATATCAACGGCTCCATGCCAAACATCTCGCAAAGGCTCACCCATGGCTATGGTGTTGGGCACCAGGTAGTCGCGGC